CACTGATATAGAAACTCCTCCTCTCCACTCGACCTCCCAGTAACAGCGACCAGTCAGACCATTTCTACACAGCAGCTGTTCCCAGGTAAATCTCTCCAGGTGACATGGAGATAATATGGCTGAAACTCTGTCACATATGTCACCTTCCTGTTGTTGTCAGACAGTTTGATCTTTCTGTTCACTGTGTTTGTGTCCAGTGTGAGTTCACAGGAATCTAATGGAGAGAAAAAGACACAACACAGCAGCAGTTTATCATCAGACACATCTGATTCTCATGAGTTCTCCCGTTCTTTGTCCAGCCTTGATTTGGGGCCCATCCGAGTAGCCCAGACAAACAAAACCCTATTCTTTAGGCAACTACTGGTAGGGGTTACTTATTACCTGGAATTATTCCTCAGAAAACCACAGACGTGATAGCATATAGCTCTACCTACTTTCACTGCCACTTTGAGAAGTCAAGCCAGGACGAGTCACCAATTTGTCACACCCCAGCTCAAGGCTGGACAAAGGAGAGAAAATACATGAGCTGTAACTAAAGATACATTTATTTTACATACTGAACTGAGGTAACCAGGTGATGACCCACCTCTATCCACCAGGCGCTCAGTGGGTCGTCACAATGGAAAGAGGTCCTTTCCCAATCAGGGCCCACAGTGGAGCAGTAAACACCTCTAGCCATCAGTGAAGGGGATACCTCTCAAGACATGGTTGACAGAGTTGTGTATGTGATTTTTCTAGTGGGTTTCTCACCTGCTGAACTCACTTCAGGTCCTCTTACAAACGCTGGCAGAGAAGAGGCTACTGGTTTCTTCCACGTCAGTCCTGGTGTGTCATTCTCTCTGAGGGTGCCTTCACATCCTCAGAGCACAAGACTCAAAAAAACATGCCAAAACCTCTTGAATAAGTGGGAGACTCCACTCTGTCTGAAGTTGTTTATTTCCTCATTCCTGCCTAAGGTGAGATAATGTACATTGAATAACCTTTTCACTGGGACTTGAGACACTGTCACACTTTTCCTTTATAGAAACTAGAAATATCACAGATCAGCTGGTTTTACTGTCAGTCCACTAGATGGTGCAAAGAAGCTACAGATCAGTTCAGTTCAGCAGCAGCAATCGGGGTCACATGCAAATCTCACTGATGAGACACAATGTTAATTTTATATGAATCTATTCATAAATGTAAAATTTTGGATGAAGATTTGGTCAAAAAACATTTGTTCATAAATTGCATTCTTCAACATATTTTATATATATAAGATTTTAACCATCAAAAGAAACAGTATTGCCATCTGATTGGTCACCCCAGTGCCACCCCATCTCTTCCCTTCTCAGAGGCTGTAGCGGGCTACATTTAAAAAGGTTAAAGATTCAGTTTGTGGCCTTTTCGGTGTGGTGTTGTCACTGTGTGTGAGCAGCGTAGATATCCTCAGAGTGGAAACGCCCAGTCTCAGCTCCTAAATGAAGCCTCCCCACGGGGTTTCAGGCAAACTGACACTGGTTCAGTTCATCAGGTGATACTGTATGAGGAGGGGAGGTTGGGTCATCTGTCTGCAGGTATGAAGCCCGGCACTGAGATCACCCACTATCAGCACCGAGCGAAGCCCCGGGGAGGTGAGGTCTACTCATGCAAATGGAACTTCTCCAGGTGTGGGGACTGTTCGTCCTCATGGTTGCTACCGCCGCGCAGACCACCACACACAGGTAAACTTACAGTTTAAAGCTCTATCTGAGGTTTATTTCCTGTCACAATGAAGGTATCTGTTTATTTTCATTGTCACCTAATGTCAGTGTGGTGGGTGCTTCTTCAAAATATCATTACATATCTTCAATATCAATCTTATGTCGTAAAAGTAATATGATTGTGGTATTGAATATAGACTAAAGTAATCTTTCACAGTATTAAATATGATTTTAAATGTATCATTTGATTGAAAATGCTAACTTTTGTTTTAATTTTGGTTAAAATTATTAGGATATTATTATCATTCTCTTGTGAATTTAAATTTAACCTCAGAGGATGAGATATTTAGTTTTTCCCCGTTGACATTATTTTGTAATAGGAATCTGAGACAGCGAGAGGCTCTGTGATTTTATATTCTGTCAACAAATCCCATAAAAAGTTAAAATACAAAAATGTTGCTCAGTACTTCCTGTACGCTGGTTTCTACCGAAGAAAAAGTCTTTTAAAACACAAAGGTTTACTAAGTTCCTAAAATGGCTGCTAACTATAGTTCGTACAGGTGGAAAAAACAGGTGCATTTATTTGGGACTATTATCAGTGGCGGATGAATCCACATTTGGTGCTCTAGTGAGTATTTGAGCCAGAAGGACAGTGTATTAATAAACTACAGTGTGCGTGTCCATGGTAATGAAGAAACATGTCACACAGTGCAACAGTGTGGCTCACTAATGTGTTTTTAATAGTTTTTGGACAATAATGAAGGTCTTTCCATGTATTTTTCTTAATTTTCCTTCTCTGTTCTACACTTTACAGCTTTTTTTTTAATTAAAGGGTCAGATAACTCAAATTACAAGCAGATAGCAGTAGAGTGTCCGGGTCTGTGAAGTGAAGCCAATGCAGAAAAGTCTTGAACCTTCATTCTTTCTCATGGCCAGCAGGGGGCAGCTCAATGGGCTGACAAAGACAACCAGATTCTGTTACTGCGTTGACTATTTCTCATCTCAGAAACATATTTTAGTGTACAGTATATCTGCATTACAAGAATGTGAGTCACCAGGCGAGCCGCAATTGTTTCTTGCTACGGACAAATTAACTGTGCAGCTGATGGTACTCTGGATAATTCACAGAACACACTGTCAATGAGACTATTTCTTCTGTAGAATGTATTCCCAGTTAAAGCTGTTTATTAGCACAGAAGATCTATTATGTGTTTTTAATCTCAATTGTTCCCCTCCTTTTTACAGCCCTGATCCGCAGCCCTCCTACCTGCTGCTGGCTCCCAGATCCCTCCGTCCTGGAGTCCCGACATCAGTATCAGTGACCATCCTGACTACCTTGCGGGTCACTGTATCTGCTCACGTTGTTCACGGAAAACAGACTGTGGCCTCAAACTCTGCTACAGTTGAAGGAGGTGAAGCCTTTCTTGTATCATCAACAAAACACTGTCTTCTGATTTAAATGACCTGTTGTGTGATCAAACATCATTACTGTCAAATTCTGTTTTTAAAGGTTCAACTGAGCTGCTGACGTTACCTCCTGTAAGTATGACATGTATCATCTTTAAGCTTTAAACCTAAGCCTTAAGGTTATATATGTGTCATTATGAACTATTGGCTATGTAAAGATTGTGACACCCCTTCCAAAAGCTGGTCCTGGATAAGCCTCCATTTGTCACAAACAGTCTAAAAAATTACTCTTGTTTTAAGTAAATCTCTTGCGTTGACTTCTTACTTGTCACATTCTCTGAGCCAAAACTGTGTACATTAAAATCAAGAAGGCCTCACCACCTCCTGTGACCCATAGTGAGGTTCCCAACCCCTAGGTTATTTAATTTATTTAATATTGTCAGTTTTTTTACATTAGTATTTATTATTTTTTAATTAAGAAGGAAGCTTTTACTGAGGGAAGTTTCAAGTTAGGGTTAGGGTTAATTGTAACTGATTGTTGTTCTACTCTTTTATTTTAAACTAAAAGCTATTTAAGGGGTTAACTTGTTAATAATAATAATAATAATAATAATAATAATAATAATAGCTGTGTTGGATTTAGGTGTTTAAGGTGGGTGTGACCTGAATCAAATCCTGCCCAAGGCCCCATAAAGGTTTGGCCAAGCCCTGTACCAAAGATATGTACTGAGGCAAGATATTTTACAGTTTGGGGCCCTCCTGCGCTATAAGCAGCTGTTTATTCACTTATTCCCGGATCTCGTAGAGGATCTGAATACTTAAAATTGTCTTATCATTCTTAAATTCTCTTATCGGTGGTTTTTCTACATGAAACCAGAACAAACACTGATTTCTGTTTTCAAAGCAGGGAGGAGTTCCTTGAAGTGTAAACTGATGCTTGTGAACAGAAACATTTACGATCAAGGGAAATTCAGACAGATGCTGAGCAGATCCAAAGTTGAAGCCTCTTATCTGTACCGCATCCCATCTCTCAGGCTGCCGACCTTTAGTTTACCAACACCTGAGAAGCTTTTAACTCGTTGGGGTTGGATCAGCTTCAAAAACAGATTTTTATAAAGGTCAATCAGGTTTTCGGTGTCTTGAATTTCCAATATTAAATAGAATAATTTGTAATTCTAAAAATCCAAAGGACAGCTATTCTCAGTTAAACCTCTAAATTGAGCTTAATGTCGCCCCCCCTGCAGATCAATGCGAGCGAGTCCAGCTACTGGTACCCTTATGTCCTGGAGGTCAAAGGTTACGCCGGCAGTGTTGAGGTTTTCTCCAACTCGACACAGCTGCGCTTCGATATCAAAGGCCTCTCAACCTTCATTCAGACAGACAAACTGAACTATCAGCCCGGACAGGTGGTGAAGATCAGAGCGGTGTCCGTTCACCCCGACGGGAAACCCTACGTGAGCCCAGTGGATATCATCATCAGAGTGAGTCAGTATACAGTACACATCAAGTGTGTAAATGGGACCATAATTTACTAAA